GATCACCAGGGAGCCAAGCAGCAGCTGGAGACGCACAGGGGGTGGGGGTGTGCTCCAGGGTCTCGGTCTCTGGGCTGGTCCGGTCCTGGTGAGGCATCATGTGCTGAAGCTGCCCACCCCGGGTGGTCCGGGCACTTAGCGGGGCCCTGTCAAAAGGAAGCCGTCTGAGTGTGCTGCATGCCTGCCATCATAGCAGCAGCCTGCTTGCCAGGGAGATCCTGGCCTGGCCCACCCCACGGCACTTGGACCCAGGTCCTGGCACCAGTAGGAGGGTGGGAGGAGGGGGCAGGAGCCCCTCGAGCCCCGGGGGGTTGGGCGCAGGCTCCCGTCTCTCAGGAGTGGGGCAGGCACGCTGTCGCCAGTGGCCACGTAGCTGGAGGACCAGGGCCACGGCAGCGTGGGGCCACATCAGCCTTCCCCACATGCCTGCACGTCCCCACACGCAGCCTGATGGGGCGCAGTGCACCCCTCTCCCCGTGCCCCGGCCCAGGCTCTGCTTGCAGCTGCGAAGGGCGCGAGAAGGGAGATTGCACCTCCTGTCACTCTCATGCACTGGTGCCCGCAGCCATTACTGCAGCACTTCTCCTTCCCCGCAAGCCCCATTGGCCCCGCACAGCTCCACGCACGGCCCCACTCCCTGCGGCTTGGGGCAGGCAGCCCAGCGCCCTGCAACACACAATGTGGGTCATCAGGCACCTGTCCTGTGGCTCTGGGCAGGGACGAAGGTAGTGGGGAGCTGCTGGGAGAAGGGGTCTGGTGGCAACTTGGGACCCTATGGAGCCAGACAGCCCGTTCCTGCGCCCCACCACTCTTACCGTGGCCTGCACAAGCCCAGAGACACTTGCGTTTGGTCTCAAAGTTGTTGGCATTGCCGGAGCAGCTGCCGTACTCAAACCTCCTGCAGCGCCGGGATGGCCAGTGGTAGAACCAGCGTGGGACGGCCGCAAAGCAGGGGCCTGGGTCTGGGGGGAGCCTGCAGATGTCCCTGGGTCCTGCACGTGGACAAGAGCCTCAGAGCCAGGCGTGGTGGAGACGGGGCAGACCCGCCACCCCATGCCAGGCGCTGGACTTTGCAATGGGCATGTGATGGGGAGGTTGTTGGAGGGGGGCAACAGGAGCCAGGAAGACAGGGCCCAGGGGGCAGCACAGGGGATTGGGAGGGGGTCACGGTGCCCTCCAGTGCCCAGCTCCCCCTGTGCAAGAGATTGCCCCGGTGCTGGCCTTACCGGGCAGGGGGTCAAGGCAGGCATGGCCGCAGGGGATGAGGCAGCACTTCTGACTCCCCGGGCAGCTGTAATCGCTGGAGCAGGGAAAGAAGCAGGGATCCAGAAGGCCGGGTGCTGAGGAGGGGCAGACGCCGGGCTTCTCTGCAAGGGAGGGCACCGCGGGCTCACAGCTCCAGGGCCTCGCCCTGCCGCTGCCCCCCGTCAGCCCCATCCCTGCACCCCCGGCAGCTTCTCCGGGTCCCTAATGGGAAACCTTTCGCCTCCCTTGTGTGTCTGGTACCGTATCCCTGCCCCTGCTCCCTCTGCTGCACTCACCCCTGGGCGCAGTCTGCAGCTCTGCCCTGAGGGCCACGAGCCCCAGGAGGAGGACGGTGCCTGCTGGCTTCATGGTGCTGCCGGGAGCCAGGTCTGAGCTCCTCCAGCCGCCCTGGTTGGATTTAAACTCTGTGCTCGGGGTGGAGCTGGCTCTGGAGGGGACGTGATGCACAGTGCCCTGCAGGCTCCTGCCAAGCTCCAGTGCCCTGGCCATAAATCAGGCCCCGGATGGAACGAGGAACAACCCGGATCCACAGCAGGGCTCAAAAGACCAGGAGGGGCAGGAGGCTCCAGGTCCCGTGTGCTGGAGCCACGGGGGCTGGTGGGGAGAAAGCTGCCCGAGACCAGTGGGGCTGGAAGTGACCCTCAGAGGTCACGTCTGGTCCAAGCCCTGCCTGAAGCAGGATCAACCCTGTCCAGACCAGCCCGGACAACCATAATCTCAACTCTGCATAAGACGGCTGTCAGCCCTGATGCAACACAGACCTCGCACCCGACCGGCCCTGGGGTCCTGCTGCTATGAGATGTCAGTCTGCACCGCGGGCAGGCAAAACCCACACGTCCATGCAATGCAACCAAGGGGGAAATCCCTTCCTGCCCCCAGGGCAGGTCTGTCTGAGCCTGAGCCTGAGCCTGAGCGCAGGGGCAAGACCCTCCAGCTGGGACCCGTGTGGAGGGTTGCAGTAGCATTGGCACAGCCCAGTCCCGCAACCCAGCACCTCTGGGGAGGCTTAAAACCCCGACACATGGAGCGGAAAAAAGGGGGAAGGAGGAGGCAAGAGCAACCAGCAGAGCCTGGAAACCTGGGAAATCCCCACAGCAGAACACGGGCATCGCCGCGCTCAAGTCATCCCGACCAGCCCTTCCTCTTCCGGATGCTTGCAAAGGGCCTTCCTTCGGCTCGGCTCCAGCGTCTTCCCAGGTACAGAGGAGAGGTTACCTGGTCCGTCCTTCCCCGGGGCCTCTCCTCGCCGTCTGTGAAGGGAGGCACTGCGCCGGCCCTGTGCCAGTCCTCTGGTGCCTGCTTGGTGGTGCACGGTGCCCTACAGGCTCCTGCCAAGCTCCAGCACCATCGGCCTGACCATAAATCAGACCCCGGATGGAACAAGGAGCGACCCGGATCCACGGGGCGCCAGGAGACAGGGGAGGCTCCAGGACCCGTGGGCTGGTGTCAGGGGCTGATGGGGAGCTCAGCGCTGTGGATCGCACTGCCCAGCACAGACCCCTGCCCAGGGGGCAGCTCAGGAGCAGGGAGGTGGCTCCCGGTACCCTTGGGCCCTGGCCTGGCCGGCCCGGGACTCCCTGCATTCCCCAGCAGACACCACCCCGGCCGCCACCTCCGGCTGGAACGAGGAAGCAAACAGGTTCCCCAGGCTCAGAGAAACCCCCTGGGAAGCACTGCAGCCACGGGCGGCCGGCGGGGCAATGCGTGCACTGTGCCCGGTCCTGAGATGCAGAGTCCGGCTGCGGCCTGGGCACAGAGCAGGGTCATCTCCGCGCCTACCCCAGGGCTCGAGCCTCCCCAGGGAGCCACCTCCCAGGCCTGGCTCGAGCCCAGCGGGGGCCAGTGGCCGGGTTGGGCACGATGCCCAGAACAGGCCCGGGGCTACGTCTGCCGTGCTCGGCGAGGTGTTTGTCTTAGCCGCGCTCCAGCATTGTGAGGCCGAGCGCTGCAGGGAGCGTGGCACCCCGGGAGCAGCGGGGCGCAGCCGGCTCCACGGTGCCGCGGGGTCGGCGCTGCCCATCTCCTGCAACCCAGAGCCCTCTTGGCCTCCCAGCCCCGCACGCAGCTCGCAGGCCTGGCGGCACGCTCTGCCCCGGCCACCCCAGGCTGCACGCACCCAGGTCACATTGGGGGTGCCTCCCAGGTCCCCCTGGCCTCGCTGAGCAACCTGGGGTGGATCCGGGTTGTTTCCTTGCTTCACCGGGGCCTGATTTACAGCCAAGTCGAGTGAGCTTGGCAAGGTCCCCGGGGCTCTGGAGCAACTTCCCCTCCCGGGTCAGCCCCACCCTGACTGTAGGGTTTAAGTCCAGCCGGCTCGGCCCCGGGGCTTAGACCCTGCTCCCAGCAGCACCATGATGGCCAGAAGCATCTTCCTCCTGCCACGGCTCCTCGCCCTCTGCCTCTGCCTCCGGCCTGCCCTGGCTCAGGAGGAGGCAGGTGAGCAAGGGCGCCTTCCGGGTGCGCGGACCTCGGTGCCCAGGAGCACCTGGTGATGGGCCCAGGGCCCCAGCCCCTGACTCCAGCTTCCCTCTCTCCTCCCAGAGAGGTGGGCGGACTTGTGCAAGCTGCCTCCAGAGCAAGGCCCGTGCCGGGGGCGAATCCCTCACTTCTACTACAATGCCTCCTCCAAACGCTGTGAACGCTTCATGTACGGCGGCTGCCAGGGCAATGCCAACAACTTCAAGACCGAGGAGGACTGCGTGGCTGCCTGCGGGGACCGAGGTGAGGGGGCACCTGGCTTGGGGGCTGTGGTGGGGACAGGCTGGGGGTCTGGAGGCAGGTGCTGCTGAGCAGCTGGCCAGGGAGTGGAGCTGAACCACCCTCGAGGCAAGAGGCAGAGCCCCATGGTGCAGGATCGGCCCCTGGCCCAGCTGAGGGCTGCCCTGTGGCCCCGGCACCTCTGCGGGGGATCATGGGTTGGGCGCAGTGCACTTGGCCCCAGGGCATCTGCCAGCCCCTCAGGCTGTGGGTGGCTGCAAGTTCCCGTGCTTTGCCCGCAGCGGTTTGCAAGCTGCAGTCCGACCCCGGCCTGTGCAAAGCGCTGGTCCCACGCTGGTTCCACAACCCACAGGCCAGGAAGTGCGAGAGCTTCAACTACGGCGGCTGTGGCGGCAACAGCAACAACTTCAAGACGAAGGAGGCCTGTCTCAGGCTCTGCCAGGGCACAGGTGAGGCCCTTTGTCTTCCTCACGTGGAGCCGTGGGCCTGCCCCAGCACTGCAGCGTGGGCGCCTGGACCCAGACAGAGCCCGTGCACCGGGTGGAGCGCAGTGACAGTGCCCCTTGCTGGGGAGGGTCAGGCAGCAGGGCTCTGACGGCACCGCCGGCTCCCAGGGTCTCCCTGGCACCGGCTCCAGCATGGCTGGGCGCTTCTGGGCCCCCTCTCTGCTGGGTGGGGGCAGCTGTGAGGCTGAGAGCTCCTGCAGCAGGGTCCCAGCCCTGCTCCCAGGGGGCCACAGGGGAATGGGCCAGGTGGTCACAGCTCCACTGGCTGCACTGGGCACCTTCGCCCGCTCCAGGGACAGTCCTGGGAGACCCTGACCCTCAGCCAGGGCTGAGGGTCCCCCTAATACATCATGCAGACCCCCAGCCCTAGCACTCGGGTTCCCCCAGCGTGGATGAGTGTGTGGAGGGGAGAAGCCAGGACACGTGGGGGAGACCAGGGAGCAGGTCGAGTGCCCAGGGCACGGGGGTGAGGCTGCATGGCAAATGGGATCAAAGGGGCTTGCCCAGAGACTGGCCCTTTGCCCCTCCACCCTGCCTGCTCCTGGCCTGCCCACGGGCCGGACGTGCTCCCAGCTTGGCTGTGCTCCCAGCACCGCAGACTGTGCGACGCTGGGGCTGGGAGGTGGCACTGGCAGGCTCCGATAGGGCACCGGAGCCACCGCCTCCCCCGGGAGCCAGCCCCAGCGCGGTGAGGCTCATAACCCCTCCCGGCGCCGCGCGGGCTCACAGCGCTCGGCCCTTGGCCCCGGCAGCCGATGGAGTGCGAGGGCATCTTCCTGCTGCTGGGGATCCTCGCCCTGTGGGCCAGCCTGCAGGCGGTCTCGGGGCGGGGGGAGGAGGGTGAGTAGGGCCCTGCCCTGGTGCCGCGCGGCTGCGGCGAGGGGCAGCCGTGACCGAGCTCTCTCTCTGCAGTGGAGTGCCCACCGCCCACCCCGCACTGCGTCTGGTCGTTTCCTCCCCAGTGCAGCCCGTGGAGGCCGTGCGCCCCGGGCAAGACGTGCTGCTACCACCAGTGCCAGTTCCAGTGCCTGGACCTCCTGAAAGGTGCGGTGGAGGGGCAGAGGTGCTGCCCCTGCTTTCTGGTGCCAGGGGTGCTTTGGAGCAGCGCCCAGCTTGCACGTTGGGGCACAGGGAGCTATGCCAGGTGGCTCTGTGCTGAGACATTACCGGGGAGCCAGTTCGCCCTGGCACCATAGTGAGGGCTCCTCAGCCTACAGCCCGGGTCCAGGCTGCTGCCTCCCTGGGCCCCTACCTGTGGCAGGAGGAGGGGGAGGGAAAGCCAAGCTCGGTGCTGGGAAATTGGGCACCAGCAGCTTTGGCACGATCGGGGCAAGAGAGCCGTGGAGGTGCCCAGAGACCCCGGGTCCCTGCACAGGTCAGAAGCGCTACCTGTGTCTGGGTGAGCGCGGCTCACTCGGTGCGGCAGCACCTGGGCTCCGGATGCCGTGTGCTCAAGCTGGGCGCATGGGCTGCAGCCAAAAGCAGCAGCTGCAACAGCCCATCAGCCCGCTGGCACCTGCGGCCCTACGGGGAAGCAGCCTGGAGCAGGGGCGTCTGCCAGGCCCTGGTGCCTGGGGCCAGGCCATGTGCCGTGCACCCCTGACAGATGCCCTGTGTCACAGAGAAACCCGGGATGTGCCCTCCTGACCCTGTCCTGTGCAGTGAGCCCCAGCAAAATGAGTGCAGCCGCGACTACGAGTGCGGCGCGCAGCTGAAGTGCTGCCACTGGAGATGTGCCCGGCGCTGCGTGAAGCCTGTGCAAGGTACGGTGCAGCCAGCGTGCAGGCAGGGGGATGAAGGAAGGAGCCCAGCCCTTGGCTGCAGGCCCAGGGCACCGCACCGGTGCCATCGTGTCTCCAGCCTGGGCTGAGCTGCGGTGGGGCCATGCCTGGGCAGGGCTGGCCCCAGGCCGGGCTCTCTGAACCTCTCTCCTCCCTGCTCCAGAGTGACCACCAGGCCAAGCCTGAGGAGGAGGCATTGTGGGGAGCAGGTCTGACGCTGCCCAGCAAGAAGGAGAGGACCCTCCTACCCGGGCCCGGACCCAGACCTGGCATGAAGGTCCCGAGGGCAGCTCCTTTGTGCTCCTCCTTTCGCCGCATACCCCCTTGCTGCATCGCCCGGCATTGCCCTGCACCCTGACCCAGACCTGGGTTTGCTCCTCTATGGGTCTGCTCACAGCAGCACCAGGGGTTGTGCCCAGGGCCCGCTCTCGACCCCCTGCGCTCCCACTGCAGATGCCTCTCAATAAAGATGCTCCTTCCTGCAGCAGCTGCTTGGAGAGCGATTGCAGAGAGGTGGGCGCCGTGCAGCGCTGGGGGAATGCTTGGGGGTGGGACGGAGGGCAGGGGGGATACAGCCCTGCTGGGATGGGGTCACGCTCACTCGCAGGGTCCTGGGGCACCACTGGTGCTGCCAAGGGGACAGAAGAGCTGCTCTGCCACTGCCCCCCACACAAAGGGCCCAGACAGCAGCAGGCGTCGGGGCTGATGGACCCAAGGCTTCGCTGCAGTGGGGCAGGGGAACGCAGGAAGCACCTGGTCGTGGGACAATAAGGCCTGGGGGTCTTGTGTGAGCCTGGGGGCCAAGACAGCCTATGGCACATGCCCAGCCCTGGCGGGTTGGTCTGCCCTCCACAGTGCACCGGACACCTCCCAAATTGCCCTCCTGCCCAGGGCTCCAGCCTCAGCGCGGGTCCTACGGCCCCCAGGAGATGGCAGCAGGGCCCAGCGAACGCTCCTTCCTGGCCGAGGGTGCCCGGTTCAGCGCTGGGCCCTGGCCGGGCGCTTCACCCCTTCCGTGCTCACGGTCCCATTTCTCGGGGCTTCGGGAAGCTCCAGCCCTGGGCGGCTGTTTCTCAGGGTCCCCTTGCCCGGGGTCCTGCTGGTTTCACTGCCGGCGCCACCCTGCTCCCTGGGAGCACAAAGGATGCTCTGCCCAGGGCAAAGGGCGCGGGGTTTGTTGGCCGCCCCCGGGCTCCTTACTGGCTCCGTGAAGGGGGAGACGTCTCTCATGCTGGTCCGGCTGCCTCTGGCCCCAGGCTGGGTCTCTGCGTGTCAGGGGCCTGCTCCAGGCACGCCAGAAGCTGCTCCATGCCAGCAGGCAGCTGGTTTCTGCCCTCCTGCCCCAGCTTGTCTGGCAGGGAGGTGCTCGCCGGCCTCCTTTGCCTAAGGAGCAGGGAGGGGCCTCTCCCAGGATGCTCCTGCCTGGCCCCGGCTCCCCTGCCTGGCTGAGGGCGCTCTGGTCCCTCGGCCCCCGCAGGCACAGGCAGCGCCTCCCACCGGACACGCGGCATCAGGGTGCGGGCGGTGTGCTGGACCCCGTGGTACAGCAAGCACCGTGCTCCCCGTGGGCCCCAGGGCCTGCCCCCGGCGCTGGGCAGTGCTGAGCCCATCACAGCTCACTGGGGCAGGGGAAGGGGCTCCCCACCTCACCCCCGGCTCCAGGCCCCACCGCTGCCCTGGCACTCAGCCACAGGGTCCAGCACAGCTCAGCCGCATGTGCCAAGACCATCCCTGCCCGGGGCCCGGGGCAGCTCGCCGCGCCCCACCACGCAGAGCAGGCAGCTGTGCATGGCCTGGACGGCTGCTGCTCTGCAGGGCTTGGGCCAGGGGCAGTCGTGGCAGCTCAGAGCCCTTGTGCCAGGGCACCAGCCTCTCGCTGGCCACCGCTCGCGGGGAGGGGGCAGGTAGTTCACATGCCAGGGGAGCTGCCGAGTTGCTGGGCTGCGCCCGGGGTTGGGCACAGGTCTGAGCTGCACACGTGCAGGGGATGGGGTCCCCCCACTTGCCATGCCCCCTGGCTCCCTGCGGAGCACTGTCCTGTGCCCCTTGCTGCCAGGAGGGTGGGCCTGGCTTACCGGAGCTGGCGGAGGGGACCGACCACAGTGCAGGTCCCTGGGGGTCAGCGGGGACTACCGCTGTCCCGCTCCACGCGTCCGAGCCAGCCTGGCTCCCCTGCGTGGCGCTGCCGTGGGCTGCGTGGACATGCCCCGAGAGGCCCGTGGTTTGCCTGGCGCAGGGGAGGCACCAGCCCGTCCACGGGAGGAAGGAGCAGGTGGGGTGAGCTGGGGATGCGCTGGCAGTGGACAAAGCCCGGCTGGGAGCTGCAGGAGATGTTTGATCCCTGCAGCAGCCTCCCTAGTGCTGCTCCTGGCTTGGTTTCGAGGAGGACTCACTGTGCATGGGAGGGATCACGTGCCCTGCCCCAGCCGTCGTGGGGGCTGCACGCGGTGGCCCAGAAGGCCTCTGCCCTACGCTCCCAACGTGCTGCCACTGTGGCCATGAGCCTGGGCAGTGCCCTGCTCGGGCTGCCGAGCCCCAGTGACTTTGCCCAGGGGTGAGCTGGGCCCATCTCCTCTCCCCTCACGCGACTCCATCACCTTCGCAACAGCTGCAATTACCGAGCCGATAATCCCGCTGGAATGGGTGCGGCTCCCCGCCCTCCAGCCTCCCCCTCCCCTGCCATGTTGGTGCCGCACCCAGCAGCGCCACAGCCTCTCTGCTCACGCCGGAGCTGGGAGCGAAGGACCCTGGGGTGGCCAGGGCACCCCACCGCGGCCGGAGACAGCAGCTTGGCAGGGGGGTGCAGCAAAGCTGCCGGGGCTGCAATAGGCCCCATGTGCTACCCCAGCAGCAATGCTCTGTGGCCGCTTTCCACCACCCTGCACAGCTCCTGGCCTCGCTGAAGAGTCCCGCAGGCTAATTGCACATTGTGCAAGCAGCTG